TAACACCATTCAATAATCCAATTCAATTCCCAAAATGTTTTAAATGTCAATATCAATCGAATAATCTGATGCCTTGTATTACATGCCCAAGATATATATGTTGTAATTGCATTGGTTTTAATAATTCGCAATTCTACTCATGTATATTTTGTACAGTTAAAAACTCAAACATATTTGTCGATGAGTTCTGAATAAACTATAACTCCATACACCGATAAATTTTGATTGAGTGTCGATAAATCTCAATCATAGTCAGTTTGGATGTTTCGATTCCACGTAAGGCAGCTGACCTTAGGTGGGCTGTTTTAAAAAAAACGTTTGATGTACCATGAAAAGAATTGTACGAGGTTTATGAAAAGTTGAACTTGTTCGTGATCTGATTGTTAATTAAGGTTCTAATTAAACATTTCTTATAATTTTAGTGAACGAAAGACCGTTCAAAAACAGCAGTATTCATATTCTCTACAGGAAACGATGAAAATACACTTTTTTAATCCGATTTTTACATATATGATAGAGCTCATGGTTTTGAACAATTCTGCCGTTTAGCATGGTATCAAAATCTGTTTCTGAAAGACAGCAGAAGTTGTTTTCTGTCTATCCCGTGCGATTTGCACGGAGTGTCCATAATTACCCCAAGCGAGAAAAATAGAAAAAACGGCTATGTTCGTTTACTTTCGCAATTTCTAATTAATTAATCAAGGATGTGTCCAAAGGACTAGCAATTTACAACGTAGATAGAGCTCAAAATTCTCTACGAGATGATATAATTTTTAACCAGAAAGGTAAAACTTTGCCGTTGACAAAAAGTTGTTTTACTTTCTTCCAGCCATTTCTGCTGGACTGTGCATAATTACCCCAGCGAGACACACTGACCCCAAATGGGGTCATTCTGGACAGTTGGGAGGAGCTCTCTGGAAATTGATGAGTACTAATTAATCTTATTGAATTTTAACGAGATTTTTACACTAGTAGATAGAGAAATGTTCGGTCTATCTACCTGCGAAGTGTCGTTTTTTCCCGAGTAAAAATGCTTTAGGTACGCTCAAAATACTGTGAAAATTCGAGAGGCTGTCCAGAATTACCCCAACTTACTCTATAGAAAGAAAAGAAAAGATATCTACGTCTTACGATATATGAATGATAATGGTTTTCTTACGAAAACTATCTCATCCCTATCTACGGCGTACAGCGTTTGGTTGTCAGAATAGTAACTAGAGACTATTCGATAGATTCCATAGTAGAAAGTCTTAATTTGATTGAAAATGAAATATTGATATTCGATTTCTGTCGTAAGACACATGAAATATTAGATTGTTTGATTGTTAACAGAAAGCTCTCTTTATAAAAACTACCTTGTGATGTAAAGTTTTCTATAACACGCTGTCTTTGTAATTTGTGTCTAAAGCGGTTGAATGATAATACAGAGAAAAAAATGAGTTGAATCAGAGGACAGACGAGCAAAGAATATTTTTATGTTCGTTTTAGATATCAGTTACGGATGGATGAGTCTATGAATTATTTGTAAAATCTTCTTTCTTCTTATTTGAACTTGTTGATGAATGAAAAAATAATAATTATTATTGTAGATTTACTTATTCGATGATAAAAAACGGATATTTAACTTTTTAAATACTTTTATATATTTACTGTGTAAGTAAGAATTTGTAAAGTGTTTTGCATTGGAATATTTCAACCTTGTTTTGTTTATTGTATGTATAACGTAGTCCTTGAAAAAATGATTCATTTATTGGATTTATTACATGAGTTTTTCCAAATAATAAAACGAAAGTCATCTCGTATGATAATCATGCATATTTTAATAATGGGTATTGGTATTACTAAAATTACCTCTGGAATACGTTCACATTCTGAGTTACTTATTGCTGATGGATTATATTCAATAGCTGAAGGTGAGATTATTTAAGATTTTTTATTTTCTTTTACATAAAAACAGATATTTTAGGTATTGCATTAATTGGTGTACTTTTCGCTTTACACTACTCGGAAAAAGAAGCGAGACAGAAAAATAATACATTTGGATGGACTCGCCTTGAACTGTTAGCCGGCTTATTGCAAGAAGTTTTGCTTCTCTCCATATCAATAAGTATAATTGTTGATGCTATAAACAAGTTAACTAATCCAAATCGTATTCAAGGTAATTATTGTTTCCTTTGTTCGAGCCCACCATAGCTTGCTATAATATGTTATCCACTAATTTTCTGCTAACTTTGAAACGATTTATAAACCTAGAAAAATTATTTTTTGATCAAAAAATTCAAAAGCCTTTCCTAATGAATATCCAAAGCATTTTTATTATTTTCGATGAAGAGTAATACATACATCATGTAGATGCAGAAGAAGAAAAGCTGTGTTTCTGTTTTCTAAGAATAAAAGTTTTATATACTTTATAATGTGGTATACCACATTAACTGTAATACATTCTAATGAGGAAATCACTCGAACTGTCCGATCGCTTTTTGCCACGAAACCTAGTGGACAATAGGTAATCGACTAGGCTGAATCCAAATATCACAGTGGTTTTGGCATCTAGGCCTCCAGAAACCGGTTTTCTGAAACACCAGTTTTTCAGAAACTCTAAAAACTAATCAAAATCTTTCTCAATGAGGCATAATTGTAGCCCGCAAATTTCTGATTAAAATGAGACATCACCCAGCTCTACACGATCTTTCTTTTCAAAGTTATAGAATTTACAAGAAAAGTCCTAAATTAATTTCTTCTTATTTCTGTAGCTTTGCGCTGACAATGAACGTTTGAGGCTTTTCTTGTAAATTCTATAATTTTGTAAACAAAGGTCGTATAGAGCTGGGAGATGCCTCATTTTGATGAGAAACGTGCAGGATACAATTATTCTGTATTAAGAAAAGTTTTGATTATTTTTTAGAGTTTCTGGAAAACTGGTGTTTCAGAAAACCGGTCTCTGGAGGTCTAGATGCCAAAATCACTATGATATTTGGATTCAGCCTAGTCAGTCACCTATTGTCCACTAGGTTTCGTGAAAAAAGCGATCGAACAGTTGGAGTGGTTGGAGTGGTTTAAGTGCATAAAACTTCAGAATAGTTGTTTCTGTGGATTATGGCGTGTTAGAGTGTATTTAACATTAGCGTAAAATAAATCCAAACATTGTACTAAACGTGCTAATATAAAGACGTAAAGTCACCTTGTATTTTGATTAAATGCTTATCGTATCATACTGGCTAATTTTGTTTTCTTTTCTCACATGTTTTGAGAGAAAAGTTTTTTTATGTAATGTGAGGAAAACTTTCTTTTATCTTGTTAAAATGAAAAACATTCGGTTATTATTTGCTGCAAGTTATAGTTAAGCACTTTTAGAACTTTTACTCATCATGGATTGCCCAACAGCAAAAAATGGTCAAATTTTCAAAACTTATAGAAAGCGTCTTTTTTTCAGTGTGATGAAACGGCTTGTTACGGCTTGTTCAGCTAATTCTGCTACCGGAATAATATTCAGTTACGATTTTTTTGCATATTATTTCCGTTATAATTTTCAATCGACTTTTGAAAAGTAGGCGTTCTTATTTTTATCATAGTTTTTATACAAAAGACTACGTGGGCTATGAAAACATCTCAAAATCCTGACACACTTTTTTCTTTAACCTAAGACGTTCCAGAGCTCTAGACATCTTGCTGATCAAATATTATAAGAGAAATAAAATCGTGGAAGAATTTCTCTCCAGTAACAGAGTTAGCTGGATAAACAGCTTGGACGATAAAATAAGTGAGCACGTTATTGTCACAATTGCTAGATAATTCGAAATATATCTTTCTTTAGATCCATTCTCCATGATAGTTCTAGGATCGATAAGTGCTATCATTGGCATATTAGGAATGTTTATGTTTCGAGGTTATGATCATGATCATAATACAAAACATGAAATAACAGAGCGAAGGAAAATTGATTTTATCTATAGTGTTCGTGATCGATTAAACACTATTGAGACTAGTCATCATTGCCACTCAATTAGTGAAACAATTGTAAATACACTTATTGTACCTGATGAAAATCTTTCGGTGATTGGCAAAAGTGACAATTTCAATCTTTCTTCTTCACATGTTGTTCAAACTAATTATTTGAATGATGGTGCTGAATTTGAAGAGTCAAGAATCTATGCAACATTTCATGCACTAAGTATGCATTCATTCGTACGTATAGTTAGTGAAATACTATGTTTTATAGTTGAGAAAGAACTTACTTTTAGGCTATTCTATTAGAATCGTTAATTGTGTTATTATCCGGATTATTGAACAAATTTGTTCCGAATCATGACCATTCTGGAAAAGAAATTAATTTGTGGTTGAAATATCTTGATCCATCCCTCACGTTACTTATGGTAGTCATTATTGTTACTAGAGGTGTTCCCGTTGTTTGGTCATTGAGTCGTATTATGACTGAAGCCGTTCCTGCTGGAATAAATACGGATAAATTGATACAAACGATTTTACACGATATACCTGGAATTAGAGCTTTACATAATCTTCATGTTTGGAGGTAAAAAATATAAAGGTTGTAGGTGTAGAACTAACGAGGGAGCCTCCCGAGGCGATAAATCGCTTTTTGATCGACATCTAGTAGGTTATAGGTTATCGACCATGCTGATTCTGAATATGACTATGGGACTTCCCCATAGCTCTTCAAAGATCCAGTCTTCTGGAAAACCAGTTATTCAGAAACCCCAAAAAATAACCCAAGCGTTTTTTAACAATTCAGGATTGTAGCGCGCAAATTTCTGATTAAAATGAAACATCCACCAGCTCTACACGACCTTTCTTTGCAAAGTTATAGAATTTATAAGAAGAGCCCTAAATTAAGTTTTTCCTTCTTATTTTTGTAGCTTTGAGCTGACAATGAACAATTTAGGGAAATTTTCCACAAAGATAGAATTATGAAATGATCGCACAAGAATCATACGCAGAATACTTAGATGAAAGCTAAGTTTTTAAAAGATTCGTACTACAATTGATTTCCAGGAGTAGGACCCTTCACTTTGAAAAATGTAATTTCTAGAGAGATAAAGTCGATTCCCATTTAGCCACATATTAGCAACTCTTATGAAGTCGCTCTGATGTGTCTCTTGGAAAAGGGACCGAAAACATTTTTCATTCATGTCGACAGACAAACTCAATCTATTCGAGCTTACCAGACAAACGAGTTCACTGCCGAACCGCACAGATAAATTAATTATTAGTCTCACTAACCTCTTATACTGACGTATCATACGAGGATTCGATTCAGAGCTTGCAGCAGAGACGCATGCCAGAACATAAAAAGTTTGCTGATCTCTGACAATTCGATTTACCCACGCACTAAAGGTGTTGGTCGCTACTATTCCCGTAAAAAGCTTCTTTATAGATATTTGAAGACATATGCCATCTGGTGTGAGTTATATTTAGGATTCTGAATCGCAAATACTGTTTTGAATTTATTGTATCCTGACATTAGAATCTAACGATATAAAACGTAGTTCTCTTCTTCGTCAACATTCGTAATGGATGAAGAGTAAGAACGTGTTGCTCACACAACTTTCACATGTCTTCTTCGATATCTTGTTTGCTATAAACTTTGTACCTCTGCTAGATGAAATAAAGACAGATATTCCGGCAAACTATGTGAACACTTATTGTGTATGTATTTTTCTTCTTAGGGTTACTGCACGACATGTGTTTGCTACAGTTCATGTAGTTTGTTATGAAAATGTATCATTAAGTGTATGCACGGAAAATATTGGGCGTCGAATACAAAAAATATTTGAATCACATTATATTCGACATTTTACATTACAGTTTGAATATGTTAGTAATAAGAGCGATATAAATGAATGTGTTTATGGTGTAAGAGGTCGAAAAACTGGACACGAATCATCGACAAATAGCGCGATAAAGGAAAGAAAAGATACTGTATTACCAAAATTTCTCGTTGAAACATTATAGACTAATGAAAACAGGAGCATGCATCTGTAGTTCACTTAGCTAGTTGACTCACAAATATCTGGTGTCCGGATCCAATGTGGGAGGGAAGCGTTCCATCACACGGAAGATGATAGGTAAGGTAAGGGTGAGAGGTCCTGCTTCTTGTTTTGTACTTAAAGATACATTAAATTTTTTTAAGGTTTTTATTAAAGAGCTTTTTGAAAGAACACAAGAAAGAAAACGTTATAAAAAAAGAGGGAGAGAGAGGTTAGTAGTGTGGTGGTTAGAAATAAGAAATGAGGGAGTAGTTCTGATGCCGCTAAAATGTTATCGAACAACGGTATAAACGAGATAAATTACAACGGTATCAGATACAATTGCGCAATAAACCAACAGTTCATCCTAGTGAGTATATTATAATATGTATCATGAACTGAAGTTTTAAAAAGCAGTTTAGCGTTAAACAGAACTTAATAACAGGATATTACTCTCTCGTTTCATGATGAATGAACAAAGGTGAATTATTTATTCTGATATTAGTTATTGTAAACTCGTTCGTAATTGTATAATTCAATACGACTTTATAAAATAGAGTAGCAAAGATTCGTCTAAATAGTGTACCAGTTAATAAATACAAATAAAATGGCATACTAATACTGATAAACGTAAATAAAAGAAGCAATTGATATATGAATTTTTTTTCAATTTTTAATGATAGTTGACTTTTAACTATATTCATTGTTAATGTTATAAACATACGTTGAGTTGCTGTTGATAATGCAGCATTGTTAATAACAGAACTTGTACTAACATCAGTTGTATTAATTATCTATCAGATTTTTTAATGCTTTTTTTAGTATTATTATTATTATTACTCCAAGTAGCAGAAGTAGTTCCAACTACTCAGTGTAGTTTTCTAATATTTAATATTGTTAAACAGCCAAATACGAGCATTAATAAATGAGGCATTAGTACAAATATAATAGCAAATGTTAAATCATTATATAATTGTCATGAATAATTTTTAGAATAGGATGCTAACGGTGTTGGTCGAGAAGGGAGATTTGCTTCAAAACAATAATACACTTCGGCGTAAATTAACCCTAATGCATACTAACATTATCATTATAACAAACTAAGGCGATATTGTTTGAAAAAAATTGATCTTATATTGCTCGAGAGAACTAAATTGACTGTCGAATGGTGAAAGGAAAATTTAATTTGTTTTTATTAATTTCTTTATTTTACTTTTTTACGTACTTCCGGAAAAGCTTTTTATTCAACGACTTTTCAGAAATACATGCGGAGGTGTGCTCTTTCAAATTATGTCAGCTGAATAAATTATTGTTGGAAACTGTAGGCTGCTGATGGTGCAAAACGAAAGGTCATATTTTGCTGGAATTTCGGGCTCCGTTTTTTCATCATTCTTGATTTTCCTCACCATCTCAGCTCATTATCTGTCTTGACTTCTTTAAACAAAATGATCTAAATGTAGATACGTTTGCTCTGTAGTTTCTAACCGTAATTTGATTGTAAATTTAGACTATAAAAACTCGACTTTTTTAAAAATAAAAAGTAATTTTTCGAGCGTGAGAAAGTCATATCGAAGTCTCATATGTTCCATTTTCATAGGCGGTTGACCCAAAACCATGCGTTGTAGCCTTGGGGACTTAAAGGGTTAGTATTGAGAAAGGTATTATAATTCCAATCAGATAATAGGTAACTTTTAAACTACTTAAATGGCGACGTTGAATATTTTAATAAGTGCTTAACTGATATCTAACTAGTTAAAGATAAAGCTGTGATAAATTCTAATAATGAGTAGATTCACCAGTAACACCAGTTGTTTCCTTGGTTTCTTCAAGTTTAGTTGCTTTAAAATGTATTTTTAAAAAATTTCTGGAATAGTCGGGGCGAATCTGTCACCGCGGTAATGTGGGTTCGGAGAAATATCGATGTATCCTCTTGTACTGTCTACACCCCCACCTCCCACTACACACTGCAAGAAATACCCAGGTGTGTACTATGAAAAATTCTTGGAAATGTGGGTGTATCAAAATAACAATCAACTGATGTCAGTGCAATTAACCACGTTGATGTCGTAAATGAAAAAAATAGTAAGAACCTAGTATTTTGTACGACATAGAAGATTTATTTGTTGGATCTAATCGTGCCTAATATACGTGTTATACGTCCAGAGTAAAGTGCTAATAAACTTGATATTGATGATAATAAAAAGTAAACTGAACATGGATATGAACGTTGGAAAAATACAATTAGGCTTAATATGTTGACAATTATTCCACATAGAAGTATAATTTTGTATAAATATCGTACTAGCTGTGTTAATATTGTATTTAAATTTAATATCAGATCTGCAGTGTCTGACATATCAATACGTCAATCGATATTTCTTTTTACCTGACCTTTCCATTGATAATGCGTCCGGTTGAAAAATCATTATACTGACGAATTTTTTAAATATTTCAAATGTTTGATAGGCTAATTCACGTATTTGAGCTATAATTAGAACACCAAGACCGTTGATTAAATTGTCTATTGTGAACGATATAAACATTCGGGAATCTGAGAAAGAGAAAAGCATTTTTTAATCATTTATGAATTGTACACAAATCATCTCCCATCTAGGTCTCGTGAAGAAAAAAAATTTTGGTCCCGTGATCCCGTAAATATTTTTTCAAAGCAGCGCTGATAGTTTGAAAGTCAGCGCGCTGTAGTGTAGCATGAAACAGCTTGTGTGGGTGGTATTAATTGAAGACTTTTAGAATTTTCTATGAATTCTTTCTCGTAGAACTGGTGTCGAAGGTCAACTCTCATGCGTCTTTGAAAAAATTACAAAGTATGACACATTGTTACAGTTTTCGAACATTATGCCAAGGCATTTTCAGCACAACCTTAATAACAACTATGTATAATATTATTGTGCTCTTCTTTAATTTTCATCCAGTAACTAACAGATTCTAACGTTATGTTCTATTGAACATATTTAACGGTGATCATTGACCATTGTCCTTAAGTGCTGACATTAACAAGTGATATGTTTGTACATATTACGCCACTATTTGATTGAATATGGACAGGCTAAATATGGCATTTTATAGCTCTAGAAAAACTCTATAAGATGAGTCGTAGTTGAAAAATTCTGATGCTTAAACTAGCATGAAGATCACCTTCCTTTTTCTTCTACTTTTTGTTTTTTCGAATTTACCATTAAACAATTTAGTTGGATCAAAATGTAACTCTTATGGTCAAGTCTTTTATCAATTTGAAGAATACTTTTCTTCTATCATCTTGAAAAGACCAAACAAGTGTAAAATAAAATTTCTATAATAGGGAGAGTGCGAGGTTGAAACCTTCATTTAACAAATGCAAGTTTTCAAGGAAAATGGGTATTAGCCCTTCATCATCTAATTCGACCGACTTGTTTTGAGCGCTATGAGAAACGCACAGTAGAAAACATAGGAAAACGTACACCAGAGTGACTTGGCGTCTTCGTGACCAGACAGGTACAGTAATTCATTTTAGGGAAAAGGGCATTTGTAACGGTTCTATTCAGGCGCATACTAGTATTGACTGCATAGGATTTTACGATCGTACTATACAGAAAAATACAAATAGTGCCGTTCTTTATGGAACAATCGTTAGAGAGATTTGAAAGATGGACCCAGCGACTCTACTCGTATTTCAATAATTTTTTCATCAATTTAAGACTTATTTTGATTGAGTTTGGTTTTAGATATTCTATTTTTCATGAATAATCATGATCTCACATCTCAGACAAGTAACAGTAATTTATTGTAGAGATAATTGGAAAATTCCAAATAGAGTACAATACAAGAATTAACTAAATCTAAACGGAATAGCTTGAGAAAAAAGCGTGTTTTAGGCTGTAATAAAGTAGTTTAAGATTTTTTGTTGTAACTGCAAAGTTTTGATATTAACCTACGATGCAAATGTATGTCGAAAATTTTTCGTGATATCTTCATATACTAATTTATTCAACTGACTTTCTTTTAAGAGATATAACGATTTTGACACGTCATTTCGTTGTGGACATGAATAAAAACATGTAATTGTTCCATGTGTCTTGCCGGACACAAACTTTCTAACTCGATTTTTTTGTATCAATGTAACTCAAACGCAGTACGTCTTTAAAAAGCCGTTAAAAATGTGACGAAATTATGGAAAATCATATGTCAAAGAATGAATCTTTTTAACGGTTCATTGAACAGAGTCGCGCAACATTTCATTTAGTAGACAAATGTTTATTGTATCAGATACAATAGTAATACGTTCAATAAAATATATCATGCAAAAAGAATGATATTTCTAATAATGATGACTGTAATATGAAGTGTTGCAGAATTTTTTGCGTCGCACTGTATTTTGTTGAAGATTTTTTGCTAACATAATTATTAGAACAATAATTTAAAATTTGAATATGGCCACAATTTAGAGTGTATTTCAAACACGAGTACGCCCGCTTTTTATGAAAAGATTCGCTACTTGAAACGTTGCTTTTCAGTTTTGATTTCAACAAAAATCAAACTTTAATAAAGTAAAAACTTGCTTTTTATTAGCTGAATGAAATGTTTTCTTCAGAGGGGCATACATCAGACAAGTTTTAAGTGCTTTGCATTACTACTGAACAAAAGAACGTTGAGAGAATTCAAATAGGAACTCATTTAGATTCTTTTTTTTAAAAATTCAAAAATAACCAACATACGCTGAAGTATTCGCTGAAGTGAAAATAATTTTTATCAAGAGGGTTTATGTTGTCACCACAATGAAAAATTTAAACATCACACGACTCTACCACGAACGAGAATCATATTTCAGACACTCCTGTCGGTGAGAGACGAGTAGAAGACAAGGGGGAAATAGCGGACTCCTGGACTCCTATGGACTCCTAGGACTCCTATGGACTCCTGGACTCCTATGGACTCCTGGACTCCTGAAGTCCAGGAGTCCATAGGAGTCAAGGAGTCCGCTATTTCCCCCTTGGTAGAAGAGCACAAGACGTGAGTAATGAATCACCAGCTAATACTTTTTTCAACGGGAGAAGTGACTTCGTTCACAGAATAACTGAATTATAAACGCAGAAGATAAATGTTCGATAACGAAGATTTGACGGGAATACGAACTGTCGCTATTATTTTTGTTATCTTCAAACGGTTGTTAATCAGTTTGTTTCAAGAGAGACGGTAGTCATAACAGCAGTTCGATCAGCTTCCCTGTCGACCGCGATTAAATGCGATTGTCGATACAACGAGTTGTTAGTTTTATTGACAAAGAGATTTTCAATGAACGACGAAATGATTTTGTTGTTATTATAAAAATGTAAAATGTTACTGAATAAAGAACTTACTTGTTTCAGTTTCTTGACAGTGGAGTCCTGATAAATTAATTCCAACAAAAAAATATATCTTCGACAGTTGAACAACTTTATGACAAATTGTTTATTATGTTAAGTGTAATGTTTATACTGACACATGTTTCTTTAGAATTATGACAAGCACCGACTATTCCGTAATTTGATTTGATATCAAATGAATTAAAATCTGTACACATTTACTGTTGCCGTTTTTCAAGTTTAATATAAATTTCTGAAGGTGTAATGACCGTTAATTCAGTAATGTTTAGATTTTCCTCAAGTTTATCAGTTTTAACGATTGTGTATTGTTTCAATAATCTTGTGAGTAATATTTTTATTTCCACTAATGCTAAACGCATTCCAACGCAATTTCGTGGTCCAACTCCAAATGCGGTGAATGCAAGAGGATGACGTTTTGTCAAATGTCGTTCAGGACAAAAACCGTTCACATCTTGTGGACCCCATAATTCTTGATCAAAATGAATTGAATATACGTCTGGTTGTATAATAGCTCCTAAACACAAAATGAGAAAAATAAGATTTATGACACGTCATTTTTTTTAATGATTCTATTATATCATGCATCAATCATATGAAAACCTGAAAGTTGGACTGTAAGAAACTAGACATTTGAGGGGAAAAGCCTATCGCCTTGATTCTAGATGTAGGTATACGCCGGTATTGGTACTCATACCGAAAATATCGACTTTTTTTTATGTGGACTTTTTTATTTGAAATAGGATATTTTAGCGACCTGGGCGCCCAGAAAGAATCAGAAGCGCAAAAACAAAAACTTTGTTTGCTTTCTAAAATAGGACTGTAAAAGTTCCCGTTGCATTGATTTAACGCTAACTGAAAACACAGTTACCGTTAAAACAACGGTAACTATCAGTTAGTTAACTTTGTGATAACTATTTTTTAAGTATGGCAGAAATATTCAGGCAGCGACTTAAAATGGCTTCCCAAACCATTAGTTTTCCATAAAACTGTTGAAACTTTCATAAATGACATGATTTTGATTGGCACACACGTGCCAGTCGACTAAACTAATCGAAATTATATAACTTCAATGTTTTGTAACTGTGGCCATTAAGGTCTCTGGAGACCTCATCATCTACAGCTAGCTTGTGAAAACTTTTTGTTTTCGTCAACGAAATTAGACTACAAAACCATGTCGTTTATGAAAGTTTCAACAGTTTTAGTAGAAAACTAACGATTTTGGAAGCCGCTGCCGGGATATATCTGTCATACTTAAAAAATAGTTACCACAAAGTTAACGAACTGATAGTTACCGTTATTTCAACGGTAACTGAAAAGACAGTTACCATTGTTTTAACGGTAGCTGTGTTTTCATTTAGCGTTAAATCAACGCAACGGGAACTTTTACAGTCCTATTCTAAAACCAAAGTTTTTACTTTTTTCTACCTGCACATGCTCAGAATACGCAACTGTGTGTTTTTTATGCGTTCTGTCTGTTCAAGACGCTAAAATATCTCATTTCAATTGAAAAAATCCAAAAAGGTCCTAGTAGAAAAAGGGCGGTATTTTCGGTATTTGGTATATCCATGCCAGTGCATGCCTATCCAGATGTAAAGCCCACAAAACGCCGATAAATATTTGTATTACCCCCCTGCCCCTCCCCATAATAGAAGTCTCCGAGCCTTCTAAACTGTCCAGGCGTTCAAAATTTTTACAGAGAGCTTGTATTATGGGGGGCTACTATTACGACTTTCGTACAAAAATTTCCAGAAAAATACGGAGATTTTGAATTTCGATACTCTTGCCTCGCTAATCGCGGTAATCTCAATTAATCTGAAAAGAATCTTTTTTGAGATAAAAAATGTAAATTTTAGGGGGGTAGTAGGAGTAAAAAGAACGGCATGCGTTGAGGGGTTCTCGTTGTAAACGAACTCATTTTAGATATCGCATATCTTTTGATAACGTAAATTTCAGTATAAATTTCGATTTTAATTTTGAAGCAGTAAGCACGAATTGCTGAAGTTTCTCGATGCGAATGAATTCCTGGTGAGTTCTTATTTACCTTTAGTTATCTTAATTCCACAAACCTCTGTTTCCTGTGTACATTCACGATTAATAACTGGTGATAGTGCTATTGGATGCATTCTGAGTACTTCTTTGATAGCCATATCCATGTATGGCATACGATTTACCACATCATAGTCAGGATCGGTCTCATTCTCATTTTGCGAGAAATATTCATCAATTTCTTCTTGTAATTTATGTTGTTCCTCAGGATAATTAGCCAAAACATATGTACAATAGGCAAGAGCTGTTGATGTTGTCTCATAACCGGCCACCATAAATAGAAAAACGTTAGCAACAACTTCATCGTACGTCAATTTTTTTGCAATATATTGTTCATCGACGTCGTCGTTTTTATCCTATAGAATTGAAAAGAATATATGAAACATATGAAGTAGTCTGTTATTTACTTTTATATGTTCACGACTTGCTGCTTCCAGCATCAATTGCAGTAAATCAGCTCGTTGCTTAGCTGCGTCTGATCTCATTTCAATAACTTCGTCCACACGTTCCATGATCCAGGTACCTGGTAATTGTGGGAATCTTTTGGTAGTTGATGGAAACAGTTGATTCAATTTTTGTCTAATTTTGTTTTGAAATAAAAATAGATCACCGACAATAACTCCCAACGGCGGAATTAATGTGCCCAATTTGAAGTCAAATGGTCAGTCGTTTATACAGTGCATAAATATTAAAGTCTTCATATTTCTCACTATAATCGGGTAATTTCTTCATTAATTCATTGATACAGTTATTTATAAGCGGTGACATTTGTTTCAATTTAATAGCAGAAAATGTAGGATTTATGACGTTTCGTTGACGTTTCCATCTTGTGCCCAAGGCATTGAACAAATGAATACGTTTACCTCTGTTAAGTGCTTTTGTAAATAAGCTCGTTTTTCGAATTGGAAAATGTGAAAATTGTTTAATGAATACTTCTTGTAAAAAATCAACATCGGACACAATGTAATGTGGTCGAGTACCTTCAAATATACCATATATTTTTCCAAATTGTTTAGACCATTCGGCTAATTGTCGAGATGGAGATTTAGCATTCCATAGCGTTTTCACATTACCATAGAAATAGGATGGCGTGGGTCCGGGTATTTGACGTGCTTTAAAATATTCATATTGTTTAATATAGACAATAATATAAGTAATAATCAAAATTAAAATTATCGAATATAATATGAGTGTAAAAAGCATGGTTATTGCTCTGAAAGAAAGATAAACGACGTATATTGCAGCCTAGCATAAGAATAGAAAAGTAATGTATATTTTGAATACGTACTTATATTATTGAGTGATTCGTTCATATTACAGTGTAATGCATACTCTTGTTAAGTACGAATTATGTGATCCGTATCTAAACAACCACGTTTTTTTACTCTAGATAAAACATTGAGTATAGTTAAGAATTACTATTTAATATATAATTATTATATCGAATGGTGCATTTAGTGATCGCAATATTTAACAAGAATAACTGAATTGAACGGATATAAACATGATGTCTCGATCGACAAATTTTAGTTGAAAACACGCGAAAACATGTTCTAGAATTAGACACATAATAAAAACAATCTGATCTGAATAATTCATAAAAGTCCCGTATAGTTAGTTTCTGCAGGCATTTGTGACACGATACCATTAGAAAATTTGGTGCTCACATCGCGCTGAACCAAATTCGATAAATAATGGGTGTCAGATACAAATTTCTCGGTGAATCCAACAACTGGTTCCGTTTAATTCCAATTTGATTTCTTTTTTGGCGTTGACAGAATCTACGTGATTTTTCCCTATTTTCAATTTAGGCAAAACCCACGTAGATTATGTTGAGCTTAAGAAAAAGTCAGAATGAAATGAATCGCATTGTATAACCGTGACTGTGATATCTTATAGTGTTAGAAAATAAATATATCCCATAACTGAAATGCAAGGGTGTGTAAGTAAACTTCAATGTTAGTTTTTATTTGTCAAATAAATGTTCTATTTTCTCGAAATCATGTCAAAAAAATGATTACTGTCAGGCGAAAAAAATTAGGCACGTGACTATTTTTTAAATAACTCAGCATCAAATAAAGATAGATACTTGTGGTTTTCACCATTCGCTAGCCAAAACTTGAGGCTCATCTAGTATAGGTTTTCACTGTGTTGCTGAATTTTGTTCTGAAAACTAATATTGCCACGAGATTCAGCTTAGTAGATAACCTATACTCTCATTCATTTCCGACAGTCCCAAACCTAACAGCAGAAAAGTGAAAATATATCTTCGACAGTTGAACAGGGAAAAAATCAGGGTAAAAATCCATAGCACCCGAATCATGGGTTTTCAAGATGTCGCTTAGAACTAATTTTGTAGAAGACGCTTCAGACTATATATGCCCCAAAACACATTACTAGATTCCTATTCGAAAAATCCAAGCTACTTTTCTAAAGATCCTTCGGAAAACTGCCTTCAAAAATTTTTTAGTGCATCGATTTTGTTTGTTAAACGATAGCCTCAAGTTTTGGCTATCGCATGATGAAAACCGCAAGTGTCTGGCTTTATTTGATGCTGAGTTATTCAAAAAATAAGACTCGCTTTTAGCGGTCACTATAAAGTCTTGCTATAGTGATTCTCGCGACAAGACCTTGCTAGTTATATAAGAAGATCGCGTTCTCGCGGCGCGAGTCTTGTCGTGTTTTAAAATCGCGACGCGAGTTAGCACGATTCGTGGTCAGTCGCGTCGCGAATCCTGTTATGCAGATCGGTTCTACAAGAATCCTGCATTCTCGCGATCAGTTTCAGCAAGAACCGTGCATAGTTGCGATCAGTTTTAGCAAGAATCGTGCATAGTCGCGATAAGTTTCTGCAAGAGTCGTGCATAATCGCGCCAGATTTTTCTGCTCCAAGTTTCACCCTATCTTTTGCTCGTTTGACAGTTTTTCCAGAAACGGAAATTGTCTACAGTGTTTTAAGAGGAGTGCGTCCTTCGCATCGCTGCTTTGAAGATTTGAATCTCTTCAAAGACATCTCCTTAGATTTATCCGATAGAAAATAGCTTCTTCAGATCATTTCAGACCTCAATATATACAGTGTTCTTTTCTTGCTTGGAATATCAACCAACCTTGTGATAAAGCTGCCTCAAGTACACCAGTTTTTCTTCTTTGCTACATGTACATTCAACATTATTTACTATAAATCACAGTAAAATCACAAAACAGAAAGATCAGCATCAGAAAAAGACTAATATCAGAGGTTGGCATTTCAGGATACTTTGTCAGCATCCAATTTGGCACTTAAGTGCACCGTGTTTTACCGGCTTACTCTTCGGAACATGATGCACGTAACAAGTACACAGTTATTTCAGAACAGTATATCTGGTGGAAAGTGAAGAAGTCTTTTTCGCCTTTTCTATTGTTACAAAGTTGAACTAAATGGTTTTTTTGAAGTATGGTTAAGTCAGAAGGTATTTTGGAAAATCAAATTCGAAAGTGAACGCTTCAAGATTATCATCAACTGTTGATCTAACGGAGATCTCAAAATATACGTGAGATAGACTGATATCGTATTGCTCGTCTATGGGTTTTACCGTAAGGAAACGTTTGCTGTGTGTGATGAAACATCACGCTTGTACGTACAGAGGATGTGTATCTGAGAAATACTAACGCTATGAACAGTTCGTTGCTAGAGCCGAGAGCTAATCTAGCATCCTGTGAATGAGGTGTTCCGGAACTATGCCGCTATCCTCTGTGCGTCAAGCAGGACCGAACTGATCTTCGCTACATCCTGTAAGTCACCAAGAACAAAGCGATATTACACCGAGGAAACTCATATAGAGACGATAATCAACTATTCGGTGCATTTCTCACGTTAGTGCATTTATTTTGAGATCTTTTAACACGATCCACATGCTAATTGAACCTATATAGGCGAATCTCTTAGATTTTGTGCATTTTCTGACAAAGATAACCCAGTTTTTGACTTTCAAAACTGTTAGGAGAAAAACGGTTCAACTTTGTAACAAATGTAACAAAAACGAAAGGACTTATTTTTTTCTGCTTTCACACACTGAAATTGCTGTGTACTTACCACAATTTTAGTTATATATTATTTAATATTTCAAACGGTTACAATCATAGAGAATCCCGGATTCTAGGATTCCGTGCTTTCCCCCTTGAGACTTTCGGACTGCTTCTATAGCAAATATCAAAATCCCTAGCCAAAATTGTTAAGATGTACTTCGAGTTTAGCGTTTCGTTAGATCCAAGATGTTTTTGCTCAGAAAAACCTATTAATCGCACATCATTCGATGCAGTTTCTTGTGATGATTCTGAATATGTCATTTTTATTGAAAAAAAAACATTTCTGAATCGAGATAAATAGAAAATATCTCGAAAAGCTGGGGTTTTTGGAAAACCAATATCTAAGTACGGGAACGTTTATGCCAATGTATGCTAACTGTAATGATAGCGGGCATGTAGAAGAACATTTTGTAAAATTTGGGACAAATTTGAAGTTGGCCGGTGGAGGGCGCGCAAATTTTACTGAAACTAGCAGTTCGGAAAACCACTTAGGAAAAACTTTTATTTTTTTGCTCAGCAAGCTCCCATACAAACTCAAAATTTTGTTTTTACTAATATATACTAAATGATGTGGAGATTCATAGTTGACAATTTGGTCACTGGAGTCTTCGTCTTAGCGTAAAATTAATTTTTCTACGGATGACTATTGCTCACCATTTCAGGCGTTTAAAAGTCGGTTTTGCTTTTTTCACCTAATGTCCGCCTAGATGCGCACTGCTCAGACTACTCACACTACACAAACACCCTTGGCTTGCTGCATAAATGCTCACACCTAGCAACCCTACTCCCCAGCTTCGACTTTCTTGCCCAAGATCTTGCTTTCTTGGTGGAAGAAATCTCTTCAATTTATGTTAGACTATTCTTGCTTTCTTGCAAGAATCAACTACCAGCAAGAATGGGCAAGAAACGCAATTCTTGCTCTTTTGCTACGCTCTTTGTGACGTCTTTTTCTGTGCCATCTTTATTTTTCTTCTCTTCTTTTCTTTCCCAGATCGATGCTTATGACCGTCTTCAACCGCCGTAACTAGAATTTACGATGTCGGATGCTACACTTTACGATGATATATACTGCAGTATACGTCAAAATACGCCACCGTTTACGATGAAATACGACGAAGTAATCAGGGGAGAAGTATTACGACGTCGTATTTCGAGTGATTGGATACGATCGTTTACGATCGTATACGTCAAAATACGACGTCCTAAAACGTCATATACGGTCATTTTTTCACCGTAAAACGTCGTATGCTGCTAATTATCAGTAAGCTTTTGGATTCTGTTCGCTTTTTCGCCTTTCCTTCAGTTCTTTTGCTTTCGATTATTACATTGAAAAAAGCCTGGCGCTACCTGTGCGCACGGCATGCTATATCGCACCGGTACGCACTAGTTTCACATTTTTCCAGTCACCGTTTTGTATCTATGATTGATTCCACTGTGTGTGACTAGGACTTTTCTTTGAGAACATAGTGCAATCAAATTTTAATGCGTTCGCCGAACAGACAATGCTTTTGTCATGTTATAATCTCTATCTGAAAAGGAAAAATCAGTATGAATAGAGTCATGTGGTAAATTCAGAGGATGTGCACAGCAAATTCAGCTCTCTGTTCATTTATCTAAGTAGGCCTTTTTTTCGCTAGTCACAATGTTACACTATTGGATTTTTGGACAAGTTTTCTTGTGAGACACATCTCTTGCGCAGATTACTAAGTCCGTATGTGTCACGTAAAAGAAAAATAACTTTTGATATAAAAGGGTCTCTTAAAAGGAATGTTTCTTAAAATAGCTGAGACACTGATTTCACCATATTTTATCCGGTTTTCTCTTCGGGAACATAATGCAATCAGGATCAGTCATTCGCCTCAGACTCACTTAAAAGTTGAGATCAAAAATTGCACACAACAGTTGCATTAGCACGCCCTCTCTTTGTCTAAATCCTTTCTACTTGTCATAAGAACCATATTAATATTCTTCTCTCATGTATTTCTCAATTATGGTTTACTGTATGTGAAGAAAGCATTCACGCTTAGACTTTCAGAGAATGTATATCCTTAGATATTATCGCTAGGATCAGTCCGTTATCAGAGCCAATCTAATATTCTGCGAATGAGGCAGAATGGCTGAGCCCCAATCCTCCGTGCGTCAAACACAACCGAACTGATCATCGCTACATCCTGAGAGTCACTAACGGCAAAGCGATATTACACCAAGGATACTCACAATTGTTATAGCATCAACCTTTCATGCATTTCTCACTTCTGTACAATTGTATTTTGAGATCTTTACACAGCAAACATTAACTGAGTCTATACACTGAGAAAGCTTCTTCGATCTCTGGAATTGGAAGCCCGTCAATTCGTGTCGAGCAGTGCTCGAACTTACGTGCTCGAAAGAAAAACTTATGTGAATTCGTCGAAATCTTGATTTATTTAGGCTAATTTGATCATCTTCCATAGGCACAGGTCCTTCCTCTTCACTTGATGCTGTCTCAGGAGGAAGAACCACTGGAAGACTAGAGAAAGTTCCTGTTGACCATCGTTTGCTTATGGATTGACGACCGGAACTTCGCTTGCGGCTTGTCGTTGGCATAATTAATAGTACGAGAAAACGTAGGAAGTCAAAAAACTCAGAAACGATCGAAAAAACTAAAATTCTCAGAACTTGACTCATAAGTCAAGTAATTGCTGCTTTTCTACAACCACTCATAACGACAGACAAAAGATGGAGCTCTATTCTAGAACCTGTAGTCAAGCACGAGATATATTTGTGTCAAAACTTAGTACAAATACGGAAATACCTACCGAAGACCCTCCAAAGATCCTCTGAAGATCCTTTGAAGATCTTGAAAAATTCTAAAACCAATTGCATTGGATTCTACATGTTTTTTTACCTATATTCATCTCATTTTATCAAGGTTTGATCATAGAATTCGTGATTAATTCGATATTCTCTTCTTCAACTGTTTCACACCTTTACTCGTTTCGTCCTTGTTGTTGATGGTATTTCTCAGCAACGAGGTGAAAGTTAGCAAAAGTAATAGCAACTTTTGTAGCCCGTCAAATGGCGATTCGAATGAGATATGAATGAAGACTATACCTATAAAGACCACAGACTTGATGTCTTTACCACGAATGTCTCATATGTTCAGTCAAGACGCCACACGATTAACGAAGAAAAAGAAAACGGAAAAAAACCCTGTTATTGGAAAAGGAAAGAAAAACATGTGCAAGTTGGTAATAATCAATCTTTTTTTTTAATGAATGGATTATTCCCATCGAATTGGTAGTGATAGGAGTATATATTAGATAATCGTTGGTTGTAAACAGGCACAATCTATCTACATAGATACCGAGCAATACTTACTTTCAAAATGGCTTCGTTCATACCATTCTTACCATTAGCCACTCAATTCGTTGAGACCATGATGATCAGTGTTTCACCAAGGAAAGGTAAGCAAATTAGCCTTTTTCTCACTGAACATGACAACAAATTGTTGAACAGACAGCAGTAGTACACTGATTTTTTCCGAATCGGTGTTTTATAGACTATACAGGATGACTAGTGTAGCTCCTGCTGAAAAGACAATTTCTACTTAAGATTTATTCAAGATAGAATCGGTTCGATGTCTGGGTTCTGTAAATGACTAGACGTGTCACAAAAATGGAGAAAAAATCACGCTTTGGCTTTTGGAAAACGAGAAACGGCAAAAAAAAGCGCTAGCTAAAATAGCTCGTTGAACTGATATGATTAAAATGCAAGGCTATTATATTGGAATATTTGGAGCGACATCGACAGGCAAATGTACTATGGTCAATAGTCGTCTTGAAAATAGGTTGCCGACACAGGTGTTGGTGAAACAACAAAAGAATTGCCAGTATATCATGTAAGACAGTTTACTCTTTGAGATCTGGTCATAATGATGAATTAACATATTCAAATCAGAAATCTATTTCAGTCATTAAAGTATTAACACGATGTCTTATTCTAATTCAATATACAATAAAAGAGAACTTAAATTTGTTGCGTTTATTGGACAATCTTGGATTAGGTTATGATATTATTGTCAACAAATTTGATGATGTTGATCAAGACGAACGATCGAAATTTCGACGTCAGATTCAACGTGAAATCACATCAACAGAACTGAAACAAAAGAAAAATGTATTTTTTCTAAGTGCTCAAAATCCTAAGATGTTTCCAGATTGGCTAAGAATGGTCGACTATTTGACCGAAGAATGTGCCGATTGTAAGTAGCGATGTTATTTTATATTTACTTTATCAAATAAAGATAAAGTAAATCTTTATTTAGATAATCACTACACGAAAACTGATACATTCGGACACGGATACGAGCTCGGATTCAAGTACTTCTCTGATTCCAATTCAAGTGTATCTTCTGACTCAAATTAATAGAATATTGTCGACAATCGATATTAATCACAAAACTAATACGGCTATGATTTTCAACTTTGATCGGGATCTGATAAATTTTCTTTCATTTCTTTTTCGTATTATGGTACTACTCTAGCATTTTTTTCTTAGCATTGCGCTTTGTTTGTATTATTTTTATAAAAATCTTTTTACATACCTACCATCTCTTCTTTATTTTCGAAAAATCCTTCATCATTTGTTTTCTGGTTTCATTATTCCTAAAAGTTTGATCAATAAACCGAACGATAACTATAATTATATATTTTTCTATTGCAAACTTCACTTTACATTATTTATATAAATATTTCGTCGAATATCTCTTTCAATTTTTATCTTGATATTGATCAAAATGCAAGTTATCATCAATTTGTTTCATTAATGCTAATCCATATGTATTCAAAACAGTTTGAATATATTAAGCCTTATTTATTTGTTTTGAACTCTTATTCACATACATATTATTTATCTGTCTTTTATCCTAAATTCGTCTTTAGGGTCAGTTCCCGTTTCGTCGAAAACTCACTCTCATACCGCCGCGGCCGCATTTGAAATTTTTTGAAGTATATGCTTTTATACTTACTACTTTTCGACGAAACGGGAATTCTCCGTCTTTAGATCATCAAACAATGTTTAATGTCGTTTATCTCCTCTATAAGAAGAAGATGACTTGTCAAGATATCGTTACATTTATTGTTCACTATGGATATACAAGCATTCTATTTTAAGTAAAAATAAATAAAAGCTGCTTCTTATACGAAGGTAATATGAAGTTTATTATAGAAAGAAAATTTTAAATCAAATGAATTTATCATCTAGATAATAGTTTCAAGTAGAATGAGTGTTAAGATGATGAACCATAGTCATCCGATCGGAGAACATTTTCGGATGTTTTGCACTGACAAAAAATACATTTTTAACTTGTTTAAGCCCGATTAGTTGTATTTCAGATCGGATTTGTTTTTGTACTTCTGTACGTTCTTCTTCATCGACTTTGTCAAATTTGTTAAAAACAATATCATAATCTAATCCAAGTTCATCCAATAATTTCATCATACTCGAATTTTCTTTTACTGTCGCTTGAATCAGAATTAAACGTCGTGTAAGACCCTTGAAAAAAGATATATATTCCATACTTAAATAAGATAATTCATCATTTCGACCAGGAATATCCCAAAGTGTGAAAGTTGATCCTTGGTATGCTTTAATTTCAGTTGTTATTTCACCAACACCTGTTGGAGCAACATTTTGATCAAGAAGAGCATTGAGCATGGTCGATTTTCCAGTGAATGTCGAACCAAAGAGACCAATGTTGTTTCCTTTCAATGGAAGGGGTGGAGTAAGTGGAGCTAGCTCGATGAGAATTTTCATCGACTCCTTATCGTGTTCGGCGAGATCTTCAAATGAATCGATTTTTTTTTTCATTTCTTCAATGAGTTTTTCATAGCGTTCGAGTAGTTCACCATGTTGTTCACGATAACGAGCTATTTCTGCTCGCAATGCCACATCTTCACCTGTTTCTTGTGCATTCTGAGGTACTACTTGCTTGGATTTCATATTTTCAGGATGATGAGTTTCGGACACCATATCGGGACATATTAGCTTATATTGAGATTCTTGACTGCCTTTTACAGTCTGTTCAGTTACTGTTGCTTTTCTTTCAGACAGAGAACGCTGGCGGGTGAGTTCGCTGCGTAACACGGCATTTTCATCCGAAAGATCTTTGTATTGGGATAGCTGCTGACGCAGCTCGGCGTTTTCAGCGGACAGATGACGTCGATCTAAACGGAAATATTCTGATTAACGAAATTTTCGCCAACGGATGGTTGCTTAAACTTTATTTGGGGTCTTTCGATTAAAAAATCAGTTGTCTCAATGCAAAAATTTTATTTTTTAGTCAAAATCTGGTATCCAATGAAATCAGAAAAGCACTGTGTTCTATTTTTGAAAGCAATAATAGAAAATTACTCATTATGAACAATTAAATTCATATTGAAGAAAAATTGATGAAGTTACCGGCAATTTTTTTGATTTGCTATATATCTATTGGAATTGTTAATTGAACATTCTTTTTGCCGAAAATAATCAACATCTCAGAATCCCTGTGTTTTCAATCATCAACTTTTACGATACTTTGACAAATACATAAACTCAAGGTTTTCGTCTTTCTCGTTCTTTATGTTGTCAATTTTTGATTGCTCTTCTTTTCATCCGATATGCATATCGCTTCGAATTTATACAATCTGTATACACTTGAAATTACTGATGTACTAAGATTAATGTGGATTTACCTTAAGAAAATTTTAATTACATAATTCGAAAGAAATCGATTGTGTTCATCAAGTACTCAACAATTCGAATAAATGGCAACTTCGTTCGCAAGGTACACATGATGCTTTGATTTCAAGTTACGATGCTAGAAGCAGTTTGTAAATTGTGCCTGTTTACAACCAGCGATTATCTAATATATACTCCTATCACTACCAATTCGATGGGAATAACCCATCCATTAAAAAGAAAGATTTGCTAGCAAAATTGGATATATTATGTTTATTATTGTAGTCGCTACTGTATATTTTTTATGTATTGCCACTTTCAATAAAACATGTTATACGGTTCCAATGATACTGGTTACTAATCTATGTTTAACTGAACATTTTGTGGTCGTATTATTGGTATTTTTAATGATTGCTCACCTGAGAGAGTTATTGAAAACGTCTGTAATGAGAAAAATCGATGATCGGCGAAATATATTAATTGCAGTTATGACATGAATGACTGGAACGAAATAGAAAAATAAAACGTTTTTGATATTTGTTTTGACAATGTTTTTCCAAATTTCAAATTAAAATAAATAAAAAAAAAACAGCTTTGTAATTTCATTATTTAATATATGATATATCCTCAAAAATTATCAATTGATTTTCTAGTCTTTGCACAAAATTTGTTTTTGCAATACAAACATTGGAGGAGATTATCATAGAATATCTTTCTTTTACTTTATATTAATTTATCTTTTCAGCTGTGCTAAAAAAAATAATGATCAAAAGACTTACTAATTAAATATGTCTATGATTTATCAAAATATATTTGACTATCCGCGTTGTGAAAAATCCCTGCCAATATATGTTCCAGTATTACTGTTTTGTTCAGTTTAAATTTATTTCAAGTTGAAACACTGTTATGGCTATGTCAATTGATTCTTTAATAGTTTTTGAAATTAGACTTTTGGTATTACGTGAATTGTAATAGAATAAGCATAGAATTAATGTTTCTCTTCCGTTATCTAGCTCATTATTTTGTTTGGATAGATTATATAATTTAGATCATAATGTTACACTTTGTCGAATCTTGTAAATAAATCTCTGTTTTACTGTTTGCTGATATAATTGTGAAACTGTCAATAAATGTTTTCGAAAACTTTTGTTTCAAAGTAAGTTCTACTAACTTGAACAAGTCGATCTCGTTATGAAGGAAAGATTGTGAATTTAAATGATCTCACACCTCATTGTAGAATTCTTCGTAGTTGGATGAATATGAAATATCTATTGATTTATAAAGAGAATTGTCTTTAAAACAGCTTTAAATGCTTAAATTGATAACTGAAATTTATTTCTAAAGTAATTGTAGTTTTATAAGTCAGCTGATGAGATAATATTTTCCTTTCTATTAAACGAAAATCTTTTTTTTATATTTGACCAAACTAATAAATATTTAGAAGAATATTCTTTGATAAGTTCTTAGGAAGGAATATTTCACCATTTCAATTCTTTATTATGATGAATAACAAGAAGATTTTAGCTTTTTATATATGAACAGAAGTCCTTGTATTTTATTAAATAGTTGATTCATTGCTACTGTTAGATGATAAAAATTAGTTTTTACTTTCTTCAATATCTGAGAAAGAAAGTTTATTTTCCTTTCTGTTTTAAGTATAGAAACATTTTCATGGTTCATATGAACATACAGTTCATTGTATCTATTGAAGAGAAAAAAACTGATCAGATGAAGTACATATGGCAGTCCTGGTCTTTTTTTTTAGTGATTGCTCAAAATTATTCATTTAAATTGTAATCACTTGTCCAGTTTCATTTCTATTTAATTTATCTAAAACGTTTTCTCATACGAAGATAGATAATACAAAACAAATCCTTTCTATTTGACCTAGAATGAAGAACCCTACAGTCGAATTGCACGTAATTATAGTAGACTCACGGCAGCACACAAAAGATTGTTTGAAGCATAATTTATATTTCCATTGAATTATGGAATAATAAATTTAAATAAAAAAGATCTAATAATAACATATAAACTGATTATTAAATTTAAATTTTAAATTAAAAGTTTGACTAATAAAGAAAAAAAAGAAAAATGAAAAGATGAAAACAATTTACTTGCAAAACTCAAGTTTTCTCGTTTTGTCAGATTTAGATAACTAGAAAACGACGTCACTTTGTCTTAAGAAGTATGACAAATATATTTAAAATGCAAAGCAAACTAAATACTTAATATCATCGGATTTGATTGGATTAGTTTGACTTGGGCTTGTTTGCACTAAGTGGGACAGAATCTCATAATGACAATTAAGATGATAGTCACAGAAAAAAAGAGATTCTTTTATCTGTTTATATTCTAATGAATAAAATAATAGACTTTTACTATTAAAAGGTAAAAACATATCGTTTTACCGCTTCGATCATGGTTCTTAGACATTTATATAGCGCGTTTTAATTCTGTTAAAGATTCAATACTAAAATGTACCGATGACAAACTTTTCTCTTTTTGAGATTTATTGACTTTTTATAATAACTGACACACTTTTTTTTTTGTTTTCTTTGATCACAGACACTTCCTCTGATATAAATACAATCAATCGAGCTCTTTCAAACTTAATCATGACACAAACCGTGGATTTAAGTTTTCTGTATGTCTTGAAGAACACGTATATTTCCATACACTTCATAGTATGTAGAACAAGTAAGATAAGAAATAATTGAGGGTGGACATCTTTGATTTAAGTGAATATTATTTGAGTTAATCCAGCGTATCTAGGTTCAGCTCATCATATGCTTGTTTCTAGAAAAATACGTTATGGCCTGCCTATATTTCTTTCTCTTTTGCAATATTCTCATTATTAATGATGTACGTTGAATTTTAGATGTTCTATCGATTGATGTCATATCATCTAACACATACATGAAAAACATTTATGAATCATTGATATTCTTCCATATGCCTAATTGTCTTGCCCGACAGATAAAAAAAAGTAAATCTACAATATTTCCATGTGTCAATGATGATTCTCTAGAACAGCATACAAAAATAAGAACAAATATGGATTATATTCAATGTCTCACATGTTCTCTTTTTTTGATAAAAGTCAAAGGAATGAAGACGCCAAACGATTAACGAAGAAAAAGAAAAGGGCAACAGACGTGTTATTGGAAAAGAAAAGAAAAGTATGTGCTAGGTTATTTCCATCGAATTGTAGTGATAGAAGTATATATTAGATAATCGTTGGTTGTAAACAGGCACAATCTATATACACAGATACCAAGCATCATATTCCTACTTTTTGTGATCTTCACCATACACTCCCTGGGTATTGATATTATTAACTAACTAACAGACACCAAGCAATACTTACTTTCAAAATGGGTTCGTTCATACCAGCCACTCATTTCAGTGAGACTTTAATGACCACTCTTTCACCAAGGAAAGGTAAGCAAATTAACATTTTTTTTCATTGAACATGACAACAAATTGTTGAACAGATAGCCATAGTACACTGATTTTTTCCGAACCGATATTTTATAGACTATACAGGATGACTAGTGTAGCTCCTGCTGAAAAGACAATTTCTACTTAAGATTTATTCAAGATAGAATCGGTTCGATGTCTGGGTTCTGCTCATAATTATCATTCGAGAATTATAGACTAAATTTTTCTTCATATAGAATTCCCTGGTAATGTTAATGAAATATGTCGTGTTGTGAACCAAAATGGTGATTCTTTAGAAGCCGCATTACGTAAAGAAGTCGCTAATTATGAACAACATGAGAAACTATTAGAAGGTTTCGATGCGCTGACTAACCAGTTAAAACACAAAAATATCGAATCATTTGAAGAACTTGAGAAACAGGACAACGAAGCAAAGAAATTACTGATAAAACTGGCGAGATGCACTAAACCAATTAGAATGCATGGTACTAATATTGGTCTCTTTGGTCGGACATCCACGGAGAAATCAACCATGCTCAATGCTCTTCTTGGTCAAAATGTTGCTCGAACAGGTGTTGGTGAAACAACAACTGAAATTAAAGCATACCAAGGATCAACTTTCACACTTTGGGATATTCCTGGTCGAAATGATGAATTATCTTATTTAAGTATGGAATATATATCTTTTTTCAAGGGTCTTACACGACGTTTAATTCTGATTCAAGCGACAGTAAAAGAAAATTCGAGTATGATGAAATTATTGGATGAACTTGGATTGGATTATGATATTGTTTTTAACAAATTTGACAAAGTGGAGGAAGAAGAACAGGCAGCAGTTAGACAACAAATTAAATCTGAAATAGCTACACTTGGTCTTCGAGGAGGAAAGAAAACATATTTTGTGAGTGCTAAAAATCCGAAACAATTCGATGATTGGCGCAACATGGTTCATGATTTTACAGGTTGAGTACTCTCAAAACAATATCGTTTTCTTTTCTTATCATCTTTGACTTATTAACAGATTTGGTGTCGTTGTGTTTTTTTGAGCGAGAACTCTCCCAAGCAAAAATGCTCTACGGAGATAATCTAGCTCCATCAACTACATAACCAGGCGGTTATTCACTTGATGGATCTAGGTAAATGTACCCTTTTACCCAGTTAGCTAGCTCCTACCTAGTAGTGAACCGAGCACTAGGTTTATACTAATCGAGCAGGAGCGGGAGGTTGACAACTAGGTTAACTGCCCAATTAATCGACCGGTTAAACTAGCTCCGAAGACCAAATATATTTAATAAGAGGGTGGTTATCAAGTAGGTTAACGGGGTGGTTGGAGGGTCTGGTTAACTGGATGGTTAGAGCGTCCGGTTAACCGGACACTCAAAGCTAGCTTAAAAAATAAGAAAAAAAGAGTATGTGCCCAACGAGAATCAAACTCGCCGACTACAGTGCACTATCAGAATTGAGACTGGAAGTACGCGACGTTTTAACCAACTAATAGCTACCAGGCATACATGCAGTAGTAGGTAAGTGATGAAATCATTGAGAAGATATGTTAGTGATTGGTGTTTCCTGTCTGTAAAATGCATTTTCGAGAGTTGTGTCTAGAATATAAAATGGGACAAATTCAATTTTCTAAATTTTATGTGTTCGGACCAGATTTTAAGAAACCGTTCTTCATGGTGAAAAACAGTAGATACATTTCCGTCTCTAAACTCAACTTTGAAAAACTCTTTCTTCATCGCGAAAAAAAATATAGCCAAAGGCGGCATTTGCGATTTTTCCCGATGAAAGAAGAGCTTTCCAAAGTTGAGTTCAGAAACAAAAACTTTAGCAAATTTAATTTTTTTTTTAACACACATTCGCTCACATTATACACTAGTTAGTCTATTTTCTCACTGGTTAGTTTCTTCAAAAAGTTCGATTTCATCCCATTTGTCTTTACTTCAGACTAGGCATACACAATCCCAAGCTGGGGTCGCTGATCGGCACCGAACATGTTCGGTAACAAACCGTTCGGTATCGATCAGCGAGGCCTGGCTTGCGATTGTTGCATGCCTAGTTAACCACCCGATTATGTAGCTAGATTTTCTCCGTAGAGCATTTTTGCTTGGGATAGATAGATGTAGTTAAATAAAAAAATTCTATTAAATAATAATCTCATTTGCACGTTTCTCTAGCTCTCAACGTACTTTACGGATTTTTTTTAAATTTTTTATTTCAGTTGAAACAACTTCTGATGAGGTAGAAAGTACGATAACAGATCCCGATCGATTTTCAATAACAACAGTTATACTCATCAATTCTCCTTTAGAACAGAATAATGACTTATATACATATATGAAAAAGTTAATTAAAACATCAATTTTACTTTTTAATGACATAAAAGAATGTATCAATGATATAAATGAAAAGAAAAATCAATATCGACTCATTTATCTTATATTAGTCATAGACTTTACAGTAACCAAACAAGAACTAGAACATCTTATTGAATTATATTCAAATTCAGAAACTGTTCATGCAATCTATATCAAATTACACGATAAAACAATCATAACTAATAAAGAATTTTTAAATCGCTTTCCAAAAATAGCTGGTATATTTCAAAGTAGCAACAGTTTGGTATCACAATCATTAAATGATATGGGAAATTATTATACAGATATTGCAGACAACTATATTGAACAAGGAGACACAATTTTGGCACAAATTTATTATAAAAAAGGAATAGAACTGTTCACCGAAATGACACAATTTCTTCAAACAAAAAGAGTGATTATTTAAATATTTTTTTTCCTAAAAATATATATGTTACATTAATTAACATTAAAACATATGAGATCTTACTCCAACATCTTTATTTTATCAGAGCATGTGAAATTACTTCTATCTGAATGGCTTCCGATCTACTTATAGTTCTTTTCTTGATTTAAACATTGCTTTTTTCTACAATCGCTAGCTATTTTTAGATATTGTGTACAAAATGGCTCAAGGTAATATAACTGATCCTGACTATATGATTGTCTTTTATGATTTTCCTCCGAATTATGCACAATTGGATGAATTATTTACAAGTCATTATATTCGTTTTCATCAACAAAATGACTGTTCACAATTTGTCGATCAACACAACCAATTAGATCAAATAGCTCTTTTTTTACCTGGTAATATTGCTGAACATATTATACAACGTACAAGACATTTACAATATGTCTCATATTATATATATTGTGCAAACAAGCAACTGCTGAATACCTTGCGACAATTATATCGATCTCAAACTATATATAAAGTTTTTAGCGAAGAATACTTACGTGTTCAATTACATTTAGCTTACGCATCGTTTTGTTTTCAGAAAGCGGAAATCCATCGACAACAAGATAATGACGAATTGGTGGATCTTTGTTTATCATCAGCAAGGGAACACTATAGTGCAGCGGCAGAGGGTTTAACGACACATATGATTGTCCAACTGGGTCAGCAACCGTTAGAATTATGGTAACAACAGCATTTTTTAGTACAATTCTTATGACTTTCTTACTGCATTATCAAGCAACATGTTGGTATATGGGTGAGATGAAGATATGGAGTAATGAAAAAACGATACATACGACGTAAGAAGATAACTACATGGTTCTTCGAACCATTGGCTAAGTAACAAAGTTAGATGATACGTTTTTTTCCTGTGAGAAGCCAAAACCTGGCAAACTATTTCAATTTTAATTTTAATGATCAAAAAATATTTTGATATAAAACTGAAAAGAAATAGAAAGGTCGTAATTGACCAAAAGCATAAGGAAATTAGCTGCTGTATTAATGACTATACTTGGCCATTAATCATTTTAACTGCCAAATTTTTAACATCAATCATATATTTTAACACGTGACACGACTCACCTGCGACTTTTTTCATAATACGAATGTGGATATTTTTTTTTGTAGTGTGTGGTGGACGTTGGCGCAAGGTGGTGAGGGCAGTGTGAGAGAGAGTTCGAAAAGTAGTTTCATACAAATGATATTTGCTTGACATAAGGTTAATCTGCAATATTTCAGCTCTTTAAGTACTGGGCGGTTATGTTATTAGTTCAGGATGTAGCGATCTTTAGATTGTTATAAAGAGTAGATTCACGTCAGTAACACCAGTTGTTTTTTTAGTTTTGAAAAGTTTAGTTTTCTTAACATCTATTTTCAAAAATTCGTGAATAAGTCGGGGTTCTATTTGTGAAGAGTCGGTTCGCAGACGTGTCGGTCACGGATTAGCCAGTTAGTCATTTTATCATGCTCATTTTGGCTTGCACGATAGCAGTATCCGTCTGAAGTTTAATACCCATTACGCTTAGCGAACGTGGCGGTTTATCCATCATTTCAGTTTATTGAGTTGTGCGCCAAACTCCCGATAGGTGGCTTTTAGCACCATGAAAGTGCCGTTGCAACAAGTATCCAGTATAATGGCTCTGATGCATATCTAATTTGGAAGTAATTCTCGGAAGAAAATATTTTTTCGAAGCGGTGCAAGAGAAAAGTACACAAGGCATCCTATGAATATCATCGTAAGTGAACAAAATAGGTCCACCTATGATTTTCAAAAAATCCAGGTTTTGACCAAAAAACCAAGCGTTTTTAGTAATATTTTTGACTTTCTCAAACTTCTGAACAGCTGTTTTCCTTTCATTAAAAGATTTGTGAAAAAAATATCCAGATTTTTTGAGAAAAAAAAGAATTTGATATATGTTTGAAACGGTTCTTTTGGTATATATACCGTTGAAAAGTCATCATCGAACAAAAATATTACAAAATTAAAATAATACATAACAAACAATAGTAATCTAGTTAGCAAATTGTTGAAAGAACTTCTCAGGATCCCACACTTCCAGTTTTAAAGCCAACTACTACCTAAATTATAAAACAGCATTAAATGATGAACGTTTTCTTAAATATAATAATAAAGATCTCGAGAGGCGCATATTATTATTTGCATCATCTACAAATAATACTATGCGGCTGTCGAGATCTTTGGTATTATATAAGAACTCAACCTTTGTTTACAAAATCAAGACATGTACTAGATGCATCGCGAGTTACACCGTAGACAATTTGAAATAAACTCAAAGATTCAACAAAGTCATTTAATAAAATATCCTCTTTTGTTGAAATGACGTTGGTATTCGCTCATGGTTGGAAGTGCGCATTAAAATCTCCTACACAAATTAGTAAATCGTCTTTATACATAGATTTTCCAACCTCATCAAAAATAGTGTCAAGTCGTTCTAACCTTTTCATAGTAATAGCTTTGGGGCGATATACATTCAGTACTAGAACATGTTTTTTATTCGCCAATGTGGAACGAACAGATATAATTTCAAAATTAACGTCTTCAAACCCAGGTACTCTGACTGCAAAAAAGTCTTTACGAACATATATTGCACAACCTCCGCCATGATGGTTACGGTCTAAACGCACCGGAGTGTTATATTCAAAGAAATTTATTTCATTATCACTAATGGTATGATCTAACCATATTTCAGTTAAACAAAAGACTACTGGTCTTACCATCGACAGATAGGCACTAACAACATCCCTCTGAGGTATCAATCATCTAATATTCGTAGATGAAAACCTTATAGTAGCCTCACCCAGATGTGCCATACTCATGGCGGTAAGAGATTCCAGAACATCCAACCCTTAGTGCCCATTTAGTGGTACACAATAAAACGCGCATGCAAAAGCCAAGCCCAACGGTAAAGAAAGAAGAAAAGAAAAGGTAACTGGCCTGTCCTTGAAAATCATAAGTGCAGATATGTATCACAGATGCATTCCATAGTAGTATCACCAGGTTTAATCATATCGATATCTAATACACTACGAATTCGTCTATATTTTCCTTTCGCCATATATAAGAAAATATTTCCATTTCGAGTAAAAACTTGTTTTTTTTCTAAATTCTGTTTTGCATACTATAAGATATGATTATTATATGCTGTTAAATGTTCATTAATATACTCTCGATTAAACTGTTCACTATTTCTACACTTTTTCTTGCTTCATAAAGTGCGTTTCTATCTGTGAAACGTAGAAAACCAATAATAATCGGTTGTATACTTGGATTCGTTGACTGTTTTTGTTTCGTAACCGACGATTTTGATATATTAGATGGGCCAGCCAGTCCAGGACATGGATCGGGCTCGGTTAGAAAGTTTATGAACTAAAAGCCATGGGCTAGGTTGGTAAAGGGCGAGATAGCTCGTGGGCTAACGTTTCCCGGCACATTCGGAGCCCAACAAACATTAAATTTCTGTGGTGATGTGCCAAAGTCACGGCAATGTAATAAAATAACAGTTTCGCGAATCGGTCTGCAGAAACACGAGCTACGGCTAAAATACCCCCTAAAAAACCAATTGTACGAAAAAGATTCACTGATGTATATTCGTGACCATAGATTTTTTTGTAAAAAGTCTATTGGAATTTCTTCATTTCGTCAATAACCTTAATTTAATGTTTGTTCCAGGGCTCCGAATGTGCCGGGAAACGTTAGCCCACGAGCTATCTCGCCCTTTACCAACCTAGCCCATGGCTTTTAGTTCATAAACTTT